GACTGTGCAGATGGCGTTGGACAGAACACGAGAGAAAAAAAGAAAACTCCTTGCTGAATGTCCTTAACCACGAATGCTGTTTGCAGAGAGCAAAAGACAGGTTCCCCAGGCCATGGGAACATAGGCATCATTCACTTTCTTACCTGTGGCTCCTTGAGTAGAAAAATAAACTGGATTGCTTCAAAAAATGATTTAGGCATGTATTTTCAACCGACTTGAAACCTACTGCTATGTGGAGGAAGCGTTAATGTTATTTTATTCAACTCCCCCCCTCTCCCCCCAAAGAACTAACATAAACTCAAGAAGACTGCTCACAGGGAGGCTGAGCGGAGCACGGTGACCTCTTCCCACGGCCCCTAGCACACAGGTCCTGCTCAGTAAACCCATCTGCACACCGAGTGCCTCAGAGGACACGGCTAAAAATATACCCCGATCGCTCCAGCTAGATCCCACACCGCTCAGAGCCACTGCCGAGCTCATACAGCAACATGAAATCACCAGGGGAGAACGTGTTTAAGGCACACACACACCAAAGCAACCCTAGGTTTTGCAATGATTTCCCCCTGAGGAGGAGAATCACCCAGATGGAGACCAAGATGAATCAGCCAGCATTTACTCTCATTTCCTGTTGGGCCCTTTCAGAGCCAACAACTGCTCTTGAACTTGTATCCTATCCCCTCACAGAGGAGCCAAACTGTCTGCGACCCATCCTTCCCCCTGACAAATTGCTCCCCAAAGAGCCTGGCTCAGTCCTCATGGCAGGAGAGAGGCCTAGCAGAGAGAGCTTGGTGCCTCGGTTTCCTTTCTGGTCTTTGTTGACTATGAATGATTGCATCATTGTGTTATTGCGTTTGTATATAGTAAACATCCTCTTTCTACCTGGAAGTATCTCACTGAAGTGATTCATATGTTTTTTTTTTTTCCCTGGGTATCTCAAGGTTATTTTTCCCCAGTTTTGAAGTCCTGTTCATGAGCGCATGGAAGCTTTCAAAGTCTAAATTAATTCACTCAGAGGTCTCCTTAAGTTTCCCTTGACTATGTGCCACACACAAGCAGAGAAGGTGAAAGGGGTATGGTCCACCCTGTATTTAAATACCCCAAGGGCCCACTTGTGATTGGAGTTACCTAGCACTCATGCAGGGCTGCTGCAGGTGAGCAAGGGGGCATCCACATCGGTAGTCTTACCCTCCCTGAGCCTCTGGGGGCTGGGCCGTGTGTTTTGCCTTTAGCTTCCGCTCTATTCTCCCAATGTTTTCTTTTTTTCTTTTAAGTGCCTTGCTTTCTTGGTAAGAAATCCAGTTACTCTGACCTTCGCCTTTTCTTTTCTGCTTCTATTAGTCCTGAGATGACATTTTGTGAGGATCCTCATTTGTACTTGGACAGCTATTCAAAGACTCCTGGGGAGCTGGCTGAAGATCACTGGTTCTCTCTGTGGGGAGAGCACACCTCCACATCATTGCAGCTGGATGGATTTAAGAAGAAACATGTCTTGTGAGATCTTATCTCTAGCACGATGTTAAGTATGCCTTTTAAAAACCACCGCGGTTTGGACTCATCTAGCATGTTGGTCTCATGAATGAGCTTACTTTTGTGGATATGACAGAATATCATTTTTTTTTAAAAATGGAGACAGTCTTCCTACATAGTCAAACTGGCCTTGAATTTGAGACCCTGATCCCTTGGCCTCCCAAGTGCTGAGATTAAAGGCTGGTCCACTGTGACAGCCTGAGTCATATGGTATCTTAGGAGTCTTGCCTCAAATCAAATATTTCTCCTTGAAGACACTCACTGAGAAGGGCTTACTGTGCTTTGACTGTAACGCATCACATTTCTGTTGGATTCAAACTCCAGATTTAGTTTTTAATGTTTCCTAAAATCGAGAAGATAGCTGCAATTGCTCTTTTGCTATCATTTGAAACACTATTTCCTTTACCGACTGTCCGATGAAAATGAAATGTGTCGGCTTCATTTGGCACTTTTTTTTTTTTTTTGGGTCCGGTCGTGGGGCCTGAACTCTGGGCCTGGGCACTGTCCCTCAGCTCTTCAGCTCAAGGCTAGCGCTCTACCACTTGAGCCACAGCACCACTTCCGGCTTTTTTCTTTTTGCTTATATGGTGCTGAGGAATCGAACCCAGGGCCTCAAGCATGCAAGGCAAGTGCTCTACCACTGAGCCACCTTCCCAACCCTCATTTGGCACTTTTCTTTGCCATCAGCATCAGGCATTACCAACTGAAGCTTTGGGATCAAAACCTTCCTGCCCACCAGTGCACTTCCTAGTGTAGGGTTGCTATAGATACTGTTGTCTGTGGTTGCTCTTTGAGAAGTGTTTCTCAGCAGAAATCAGTCCAGATTTCTTACCATGGGCATAGTGTTGCCTTATGCCTTCTTCCTTTTTTTTTAACTTCCATACTAGCCTAAGGAGGAGAGGAGGCACGGACCAAGTGGTAGAGCACCAGGTGTGAATAAATAAGCCCAATTAATTTGCCCAAGGAATCCATTCATCCTATTAATCAACCATCTGAGTGGAAAAATAAAATCTGCCCAACTAGCTGCTTGATTGAGCTGTTAGGTTGGGAATTACATTGCTGTTCCTGCTGGATTCCAGGCATTTGTACATAGATTAAATCTTAATCTCTAGTTTACCAGTAGTTGGATGGATTGACTTTGTTTAGATTAGCCTAGCTACCTAAAGTTATGTGTACAAACTGTGGCTAGAGATCTGGGTGCCTGTGGCTCATGCTTATCATCCTAGCTACTCAAGAGGTTGAGATGAAAGGATTTGAGGTTCAAAGCCAGCCCAAGCAGTAAAGTCCATGAGACTCATCTCCAATTAACCACCACAAAACAAACACACACATACAACTGGGAATGGAGATGTGCCTCAAGTGTAGGTACCATCCTTGAGAGAAAGAGCTATAGGATAGCACCGAAGTCTGAGTTCATGGCCCAGTATTGGCACACACACACACACACAAAATGTGGCAGAAAATCTGATGTTTGCCTAGCTCAGCCAAAAGACCCCTCTCTTGATCCATGGAGGTAATTTCTCATTTGACTCTGAGGGATGGCCCTGTGAGATCATCCATCTGAGGCCCAGAAGATTGTTCTGGAGATCAGCTGCTGCTGGCTGACTTGTGAATACAGTACAGACCACGAGTGAATCTTTCTTCAGATGTCGGTCTCTTTCTATTTATAGTTTCTGAGCAATTTTATAGCACACACTCTCATGACCATGATAATGATTAATTTGGTGGGATGACATCACCTCATGAAGTGGCTTTGCTCATCACGGCTTTCTTTTATTTAGAAATTGGCTCCTATGACCCCTTCCGAGTCTGTACAGCAGCCTGACACCCACAGGCTCTCGTCGGGGTTCAGGTTCTCGTTGAGAGAGTGAGCTTCCTGCCAGGAATGCGTTGATCCCCGGGGCCCAGGGAGAAGATGCTGACCTGTGGAGCCATTTGCCTGGTGAATGCACACGGCTAGAAAATTCTCCTTGACCAGAGCAAACACACTGCTTTCAGTTTTTCATCACATCAGTGAGGAGTGGCTCTTTAGCAAGCTGTGACTCTGTCATAATGTAACAGGGCTGGCTCCAAGTGCTGCCTGTATTACAGGGCTAAAGGATCTTTATTGTGTACCAAGGATGAATAGTAACCTCAGCAGGGACAATTCGCACACCCAGTTGATTTCCCCTAAGCCAAGGCAGAACTCCTCCCCTCCCTGAATGTCAAGCTCTGATTTATAAAACCTTCCCTTGAGGGGTGTGCATTTGCCTCTGTGTATGTGTGTGTATATATACATATATGTATGTATATATGCATGTGTGTGCACATACATATGTACACATGCACACATGTGTGTATTTGCTTATGAAAATGTCAAACAGTTTAGATGGGTTGAAAAGTGAAATAATACTTGAAATGTAGAAGGGCCACCACATACCAGAAATGCCAAACAGAACTCAAGTGACAGAGATTTCAGGGACGGTCTTAAGAGACATGATCTATATCACCAAATTATTTTCTGTGTCGTTCCTTCGGGAGGGGGAGAGACTACCAGTGACTGGCTTTTCTCAACAGAGGGAGCTTGAAACTGGAAAAGTTGGTGTAATTTCATACGGCCAAGCTATACTTTCTTTATGCAACAACATAAAAAAGTTAAGTATCTATATGGGAGATTCCAAGAATCAAAGATTATTTAGAAGGCAAGATGACTTCTAATTAAATGGTAGGAACTAACTTACACAATGGTACAGATGTCCTGGGTGTCTGGATTCATGTAGAGACAGCACATGGTTCCTCAGCTTTTCCTTCCTCAAGGATAAAGTCCTTGTTCTATGGAGAAGTGATTCTGAGGAAGGGTGAGGCATTGGGAAGGAGAGGCAATCATTCATCTTGGTTGTAACTGGAAGGTGTCACTCAAACACAATGGGATCTCATAAGGAACAAGCTGAGGAGCACTTGGAGTTACAGGTAGAACTATGGAGGTATTTCACCTGACCTTCGGGATTTTGAGATTCTTGCTCTTCCATGCCTACTGTGCAAATCCTTTGGTTAGGCCAGGTTAGGTTATGACTGGAGAGAACAGAAGACATTGGACTGGAGAGAGTGTAAAATTACAGGAGGAAGAGAGGGAGCAGGAGAGGCTGAGCTCAGAAAAGAATATTTGATCAGCCAGGTGCTGGTGGCTCATGTCTGTAATCCAAGCTACTCAGGAGGCTGAGATCTGAGGATTATAGTTCAAAACCAGCTCAGGAAGGCAATTTTGAGATTATCGCCAATTAACCAGCAAAAAGCCAGAAGTGGAGGTATGGCTCAAGTGGTAGAGCATCAGCCTTGAGCTTGTAAAAGCTAAAGGACAGTGCCCAGGCCCTGAGTTCAAGATCTAGTACCCGTGTGCACATGTCTACACACACACACACAAACTCAGACAGACACACACACTATTTTCAAAGATCCAGCATATTCTTGCCCTTGTTGACTTGGATGAAAAGAACTACTTTCTTAAACACAGTTTATCTTTGGTTTACATGATCATATGATATGGGAAAAAGCAGCCACTTATCAATGTAAGCAATTTATAGGTTAAAATCTTTGGCAAAATTGTTGACTTGCAATATCATAGTGTCTTGTTCCCACCAGGTTTAAAACTTATGGCTCTGTAAATTTATAAAAGTGTTTTTTAAAGTTTCCTTACAATCAAGCATTCAGAAACACACGTTGATTCTCATAAGTTGGCTGAAACCTGCTGAAAATAGCAATGAACATCCATCTACTCCCATGTCCTTAGGCTACTTTGGTATGGATTTGTTAAGGCCTGAGGAAGTTGGAAATTAGGCAATGGCTTATAATATAAATGCATATAAGACACATGAGCAAAAGAGGAAAGGTTAGTGTTGTATCCTTCAGTTTTGTGGAGACAGGGATTAAGGCCACAGTTCAGGAACCAGCACTCCTTTGGTTTTCCTGCGACAATTTCCTATCAGCTTGAGTTCATGAGCAGGAGATGGACCTTGTTGGATGACCTCTGACCTCACATCCACCTTGTGCAGCGGGGTCCTGGGGGAGTGTGGGAAAGGGCAGCTGGTCGGCAGGGCGCTGTGCTCAGGATGGCTGGCAAGGTGGAGGGCTCTCCTGCGGGGCAGGACTTCCTGTCTGGTCCAGCCCTGTACTGGGGCTGGAGGTCTTGTCAGTCAGGACACTTCAGACAACGGAACAGCCGCTGCAACATGCCCGGCAGCCTTTCTTCTTCTTCTTGGGGTGGAAGATGGTGAGGAGTGCTTCATCAAAAACTGCTTTGAGACCTTTCTGCGTCAGGGCTGAGCACTCCAAGTAGCACTGGGCTCCGATCTTAAACACAGACAGAAAGCCATGAATGAGGGGAAAAGAGAGAGAGAGAATCAAAACCCCACACAATAAAAACAAGCATCTATGGGCTTGCCAACTCTACCTATCATGTTCTGTTTGTGAGCCTCTTTCACAAATAGCCAAGGTTTCGTCTGGATCCTGCCTTTTTGTTTTTTAACGTTCTAATTTTCATTGGCTACTCTGTTTGTTTGTTTTTTTAACACCCTTTCTTTTTGTGTATGTGTGCTGGTACTGGGGTTTGAACTTAGGGCCTTTCATTCATTTCAGCTTGCTTGTTTAGGCTGTCTCTAAGAACCTTAGAGACAGCCTTGTGAAAGCTTCTGCCTGAGCTGCCTTTGACCTGTGGTTCTTAGGATCTCAGCTTGCTGAGGAGGATTACGGGCATGCCCCACTGGCTTCCATTTTTCTACATTTGTACGGGAAAGCAGTAAGTTGTATGTCAGTTTTGGCAAGCAGATTCCTAAAGTGATCCACCACTATTTGTTCCTGATGGAAGAATATGAGACTATAAATCTATTTTAAAAAACTAAGAGGAGATGTAAAACAAGCAGTAGTCTTTGAATATGTTTTGTGAAGATTAGGGCTTCGTGATGCTGTTTGTAACAGCTTCTCATTTGTCTGAGGAATGTGAAAGTCAAGTTCAAGTGAAATGCATTTCCTGGGTGTGAAGGCAGAGAGGTAGCCTGGCAGAGAAAGCAAGAAAGGGAGTGAGTGATAGGGCCCCAGGTCATTCTGGGCTAGCATGGACTTCTGCTAGGTCATCATTTAGCAAGGTAATATCGGGTAGGTATTTTTATCTAGTATTAACATACTTACATACTTTAAGAAATCAGAAAATATAAACATTTAAAATAATTTATTGACAGAGACATCTTCCTTGTCAGGGTACAGGCTGTACTTATTTATTTTGGGCTCCAACCCAGGGTCTTATGCTATATATCCAGTTACTACTGAAGTATACCCTAAGCCCCTGCCTGCCTGCCTGCCTTCCTCCCCCTCCTCCCGCTCCTCCCCCTCCTCTTCCTCGTCCTCCTCCTTTTCTTCTTCTTCTCCCCCTGTTCTTTCTTCCCTTCCTTTCCATTCCCTTTCCATGCTGATCCTGGGACTTGAACTCAGGGCCCAGACACTGACTCTGAGCTTTTTTTTCCCCCCACAAGGCTAGTGCTCCACTACTTGAGACACAGCTCCACTTTTTTTTTTTTTTGGCCATTCCTGGGGGCTTGAACTCAGGGCCTGGGTGCTGTCCCTGAACTTCTTTTGCTCATGGCTAGTACTCTTATTACTTGAGCCACATGCTACTTCTGGCTTTTTCTGTTTATGTGGTACTGGGGAATTGAACCCAGGGCTTCATGCCTGCTAGGCAAGCACTCTATCACTAAGCCACACTCCCAGCTTCACTTTCGTACCTAATTGGAGATTCAAGTCTCACTGACTTTTCTGCTTGGGCTGGCTTTGAACCATGATCTTTAGATCTCAATCTCCCAAGTAGCTACAATTACAGGCATGAGCCACTGACCACCTGGCTTAGCTCTTGTATTTTTTGAGTTAGAGTTTCACTATGTAGCTCAGACTCGCCTGGAACTCACTATGTAGTCAAGGTTAACCTAGAATTTATGATCCTCTAACTTGTACCTCCCCAGTGGTGGGAGTATATACCCTATACCCAGTCGGTACATTAAGGGTAAAGTATTTTGTGCTTGTTTAGAGCTTTATTTCAAAGCTTTTGGTTAATTTTATAACCACAGTATATTCGATAATCATAGAATCCTCAAGAGAAGCAGCAAGCCAAGCCAGAACTGTAAGCTTTCTTGAAGAAAACCACAGCTTGTTTGGCAGACAGCTTCACCGAAGGAGATCAGGGGTGTGATGGCCCACAAGCTCAGGGGAACGCCAGCAGGGTGGCTCTCCTCAGAGGAAAGCATCTGGAGAAAAACTTTTATTTTTCATTTCATATAGTAAGACTAACTTTGGCACGTTAAGGGTGATTCAGAGGAGTCTGGCTGGATGGTGATTGCTTGCCAAGTCTGGCGATGAGCAGTTACAACAGGGTAGCAGAATCCCATGCCCACCGAGGCCAGCTGCTACATAGACAAATAAAGCAGTGTGGAGTGGGCTGACGGAGCAGTGAGGCCGTGGTGGGCGGGGAAGCCTGCGTCCTGGCTGTGTGTGTGTGTGCTCTTTCCCTGTCTCCCTAGGGGAAGGCTGGGTCATGGCTGCTCAAGTCTGTATTGTTCAAGAGGAGTTGGAAGTTGGATATTTAATATTTAGTTATTTATAAAAACCATCCTGTGGGCCAAACAGGACACTGCTGAGAACATGTTTGGCTGTGGCCAGTCCATTTGCAATGAGTGGACGAGGGAAAAACCTGTTTAGCTCAGACTAGAGTAGGCACAGCTCCAAAACAGACTGTTCCAGGGCGTTAGGTAGGAAGTAAGAAGACCAGACTTCAATTCTGGGCCTTTGCCTGTGGTAACCGAGACCCTTATCACTCAGCCCTGGGATGATCTGGTCAAGAAGACAGAGAAATAGGTTAAGTCACGCATTGGAAAGGCCACAGATACAAAGACTTATATGAAATAGAATGGTTTTGGCCGGGCCTGGAAATTACTTTCTAACTTCTCCAATAGATACTATGCACTTTTGTGTGTGTGTGTGTGTGTGTGTGTGTGTGTGTGTGTGCATGTGTGTATGTGTGTTTGTTTGTGTGTGTGTGCGTGTGTGTGCATACCAGTCCTGAGGCTTGAACTGAGGCCCTGGGTGCTGTCCCTGAGCTTCTCTTGCTCAAGGCTAGCGCTCTACCACTACTACAGCGCCACTTCCAGCTTTTTCTGAGTAGTTAGTTCATTGGAGTTAAGAGTCTCAGACTTTCCTGCGTTAGCTGGCTTCAAACTGTGATGCTTAGATCTCAGTCTCCTGAATAGCTAGGATTACAGGCGTGAGCCACCAGCGCCCAGCTGCCTTTTTTTTTTTTAATGACAAGAATAAGCCAAAAGAAAATATCAAAAGCATCACTGGGTGATGAAACCATCACTGGGTATTGTAAACTTGTCTCGTGGTTTTTATCTTGACCACAGTTTGACCTTTAGATGAGGAAATAGCTTCCTTTTAAAAAGTAATGGAAAACAGTAGGTTGTGAAAGAGGAGTAGAAGGCAGAGACTATTTTTCCTAATACTGTCAGGAAATATAATCTGTTGTATCTGGGGACAGTGTTGATGCTTGATATAAACCTGGGGCGGGTGGGGAGAGGGGAGTACGATATAAACATGGGATGGTGTGGGGAGAGGGGCATACAAACATTTAGTGAGGGAACCTATTGCTTATTAAGGCAGCTCCTGTCCATCATGCTAAATACCTAGAAGGGACCCTGGGGCCACCATGGCAGAAGAGGGGGGTATATGGATGGACTTCCTACCAAGCTGATCCTGAACTTTGAGCTCTGAACTGAGCTGCACTCTGCTTTCACTGTGCAGTCTAGCAGGATGGTGGTGTGAGGGGTCCTGCAGGATGGGTGGACCCCTCTTTTCTTCTTTCCCAAAGCACCGCCAACTGCCAGCAGAGGAGACTCTGCTATTGGATGGTGCCGGATGAGCCCGAACTTGTCTCTCCCCATTCTGACCTCACTGGAGTTAATGCGACAGTAGATAAAGTCATGGTTATGTAATGAGGTTAACATAATATTCTGAGTTCCTGGAAAAGTAGCCAGCAGATGTTGATGTGTAAAAAAGAGAATTGATTCTGAGGTGCGTACTGGTCCCACATTTTACGTTCCCGAGGGCTGAAGAGAGGAATTCCTGTTGGTTCAGGGAAGAGGCAGAGCTATATTAACAGCCATAAAGGAAAAAAAATCCATTTGTGTCATCAAATGTGAAACAGAGAACTTTTTTGAGAACTTTTTTCTAGGGCAGCAATCTTTTTGGAGTGATGTATTCAGCAATATGTTTAGAATCCATCTGCAAGAGCTCAGGGTTTGGGGATTCTTGTTTGGACATGCATGCTAGCAATCTGCAACATGCTTTACCAAATGGACATGTTTTCTTTCTTTATTTTAGCTGGAAGTGGGGCTTGAACTTGACTGTCCCTGAGCTCTTCAGCTCAAGGCTAGCATTCTACCACTTAAGCCACAGTGCCACTTCTTGTTTTTGAGTGGTTAATTGGAGATAAAAGTCTCACTTTTCTGCAAATGGACATATTTTCAAGAAAAAAAAGAGACTGGAGCTATAAATAAGGAAGACACTTTTCTGATAATTTTACATAATAGCTGAAATGTAATTGTTTCCAAAGCTGGGAAACATGTCATCAGTGCACAGAAAATGCCAGAGTTTTGATGTGTGACCAGTGAGTTCAATGTTGGCTACTAAAACACATTAAAATACCTGGGTAAGGCTGGGAGAATATGGCTTAGTGGTACAATGCTTGCCTAGCATGCATGAAGCCCTGGGTTCAATTCCTCAGTACCATATAAACAGAAAAAACCAGAAATGGCACTGTGGCTCAAGTGATAGAGTACTAGCCATGAGCAAAAGAAGCTCAGGGACAATGCCCAGGCCCTGAGTTCAAGCTCCAGGACTGGCAAACAAACAAACAGTGTGGGGCTGGGAAAGTGGCTCAGTGGTAGAGTGCTTGCCTTGCATGCATGAGGCCCTGGGTTTAATTCCTCAGTACCACATAAGCAGAAAAGCCGGGAGTGGTGCTGTGGCTCAAGTGGTAGAGCACTAGCCTTGAGCTGAAGAGCTGAGGGAAGGCGCCCAGGCCCAGAGTTCAGGCCCCACAACTGACAAAAAAAACAAAACAAAACAAACAAACAGTGTGAGCCAGGTGCTTGTGGCTGATGCCTGTAATCCTTGCTTCTAGGAGGCTGAGATCTAAAGACCAGAGTCCAAATAATCTCCAATTAGCCAGCGAAGAGCTGGAAGTAGATGTATGACTAGCAGTAGAGTGCTAGACTTAAGAGCAAAAGAGCAAGGGGCTGGGAAGTTGGCTTAGTGGTAGAGTGCTTGCCTCATATGCATGAGGCTCTGGGTTCGATTTCTCAGCACCATATAAGCAGAAAAAAGCCGGAAGTCATGCCGTGGTTCAAGTGGTAGTGTGCTAGCCTTGAGCTGAAGAGCTGAGGGGCAGTGTCCAGGCCCAGAGGTTAGCCTCTATGACTGACCAAAAAAAAAAAAGCTGAGCAAGAGTATAAGGTCCTGAGTTCAAGCCCCAGTACTAGCATCCAAATCTGTGTGAATTGATCAAGCTCTCTATGGGTAAATTGACTGATCCAAGACACTGGAAACTGCCTGAGAAGATGCCTCTGAACACTGGTGTCCCTGCCTGTTTTTGTCCACCTTAGGGTCGAGGATCCCCAGCTGACATGTCTGGTGTGTTGGGAAGCCTCTTCTAGGCCCTTCCTTCTTGGAGTGTGTCCATGTGCCTTGCCTGGGCCTGTCACTCTGCCCCGTCATGCCATGTGCTTATTTGCCTGGCTCTCTCTGCTTCTGGCCTATGGGCCATGCTTGTGGTGAAGTGACCTGCCTGCCATAACCAGGGAAGAAAAGGAGATGGCCGACAGGGCAGGCCCCTGCGTCCCTGCATACAAGGCAGGATGGAAGACTCTACTTGTTCCTCATCAACTAACACTGACTACAGTGTTTTTTTGCTGCTTTTAATCCCATCTGGGCATTTAAAAACCCAAGGGAAACAGGTGTCAAGTTAGAGAGACAAAAACAGAAAGCACAAGGTGAAGAAGATGGTGGGAGAGGACAAAGAGAAGCCAAAGATGAGCCAGAAGAAAAACGGGAAAGAGTCGTATGAAGAAATAATACAGGAAGTTTAAGCTGGGGGTGGTGGTGCACAGGAAGAAAATTGTGAGTTCAAGGTCAGCCTGGACCCTGTCTCAAAACAAAAACAAAAAAAAGTAATAAATCTGAACTTAAGAAGTCATATTTGGGCTTCATCCGATGGAAATGAGAAAGAATGTCCAATGTTAATCCTTGAGCTCAGCTGTAGTATCCAGAATGGTACCTGGGACATAAGTAGGTGCTTATTTTGAGTAGTTCTAGTAGCAGTATATGGACATTTATATAAGTGTAGGCTGAGGATTAAAAACAATAATTGAACGGGGGCACTGGTGGCTCACACCTGTAATCCAAGCTGCTCAGGAGGTTGAGATCTGAGGATTGTGCTTTGAAGCCTGCCTAGATAGGAAAGTCTGTGAGACTTCAGTTAAATACCAACAAAGCCAGAAGTGTAGTTATGGCTCAAATGGTAGAGCACAGTCTTAAGTGAAGGAGCTAAGGGACAGTGTCCAAACCCTAGGTCCAACCCCAGTACCAGAACAAACCAAACAAAACCCCAAACAAGCAACAACCAAGAGACATTCCAAACCTAAGGGTTTCTTAGAGCATTGTTTCCTGCTCCCACTCTGCTGCTTTCTAGCTATGTGTCCTTCATCCATCAGCCTCAGTTTCCTCTAGGGAAGCAGTGGTACTACTATACACCCCTCTGGGGGTGGCTGTGAGGGGTAATTACGATGAATCATGTGAAGCAATGGCCCTGCAGCCTTGCACATTATGAACACTCTGTCCATGCTAGCTCTTGTAATCAACTACTGGCCGGAGAAGCAAAGACTAGAGACACTTAAAGCATCTCTATAATTACAGGAATCGGGATGAAACAAGTTAAAAACCTTGTTTGGCTTTTCCTCTAAATTGGATTTTGTAAGCTGAACCTGATTGTCTAGCAGAGTGCAGTTGCTAGGAGAGACTGGAAAAAGGCAGGCAATTGGAGAGCTCAGCCATTATTCTTAAAATACGTCTGAAATGACATGAGATGGGAGGCTTCAGAGTAACTTCCTTGGAGTGGGGGAGGAATCCCCCCACAAAACCAAGTGAGAAATGAGGAAACTGATGGGATAAAGGTGGGAGAGAGGCCCGGGGACCTCGTGCTAGGATGCTGTGTGATTATTTCTAGAGCTGTGTGTTTAAGTGTGGTAGTGGGAGTGGCTGAGGTTGAAGGAATGCTTGGGGAGGAGGAAGCATTCATGCTCCCAGCACAAATGCATATGGCATTTCTGGTCTGAGGCCCATGCAGCAGTGTCACAGAGCTGGATGGGGATTTCTTTGTTATTTTTAGGGGTGTGAGTCAAATGTGTGTCTCCTTCCAGACCCCTGATTGATGAAGTGAGACTTTCTCTGGATGTATGGGGATTATTGTGAGCCTGAATTATGGAAAATTTGTTAAAATGCTTAGTGTCCTAAGAACTCGGGGTTAAGCTGGGCTCTGGTGGCTCAGGTCTGTAATCCCAGCTACTCAGGAGGCTGAGATTTAAGGATTGCAGTTTGAAGCCAGCCCAGGCAGGAAAGACCCTTATCTCCAATTAGCCACCAGAAAACTGATGTGGAGCTGTGGCTCAAAGTGGTAGAGCTCTAGCCTTGAGCACAAAAGCTCCAGGACAGCTCCCAGGCCCTGAGTTCAAGGTCCATGACCGACAAAACAAAACAACAACTAAAGCCAAGCAAAAATCCTCTTACAATGGCTGGAATTGGACTGTTCATATGACAGTTCACAAAAGTAGGAAGAGTCTGGCATTCCTGAGATGTGCTTGTGAGTGCAGTGCCTAAGGACATCTTATTTGATCCTTTTTATTCACTTTTTGTCATCTATAAATGACCTTGAAAAGGAGATGCATACTACATTGTTTTTGGTGGTATTGGTGTTTGAACTCAGAGTGTTCTGCTTGTTCAGCAGGTGCTCTACCACACTTAAGCCATGTTCCCAGCCCCTTTGTTCATTGCTTATTTTTGTGAGGCTTATTTTCTTTAGACCTAGATTAGCTTGAACTATAATCCTCCTATTTGTGCTTCTTTGCCACTGGATGACAAACATGTGCTTCTGCACCCAGACACGGTACTTCTTCTGGGACAACAGGCATACCACCATCTCCAGTTGAGATGGAATAGCTCAACCAATGGAGAATCTTTCACGCTCAGGCTGGCTTCCAACCATGATCCCCTGACTTCCACCAAGTGAGTATCTAGGATTACAGGTTTGATCTACTGTACTCAGCTTAGTTAATATTGTTATGAACTGGTGTGTGTGTGGGGGGAGAGAGACAGAGACAGAGACTTCTAACTCCCCAGGGAATGCATTTTTCAGGGTTACTTTCTTACAAAGTAAAACAAAGCCAAGCCTAACAGCACATATCTGAAGCCAGCGTGGGCACAAGTGTGAGACTCTTACAAAATGGACCAAAGCAAAAAGGCCTCCGAATGTGTCCCAAGCGCTAGATAGAATCCTTGCCTAGCAACTGTGAAATCCTGAATTCAATTCCTAATGTGTGGCTGGGTGGTGGAGGGAGGGAGGAAGAAGAGAAGAAAGTAAAATAGAAAAATGTAAAGCCTACTTGGATCAATGGATTTGTGATTAATTCAGTAGGTTAATGAATTGAAATGATGGGAGTGTGATTTTATACGCCTCCTTGTTCATGGATTACTTGTGTCCATTTTAGTGGTTGCTTTGCAGATGTCTTGTGGTTAGCAGAGAGGCCAAGATTTGTGGTCTGGCAAATTCTTTGTGAAGTATTTCCTCCACGCAGTTGTTATCTTGGTAAACTCTCAAGAATGAAGAAAGGTCTGGGAAAACAGACCCAGCTCTGAGCAAATTGCCTTAATCTGTGAGCAGCTGCTTAGATTCCCCAACAAGTTGATCTTCGGTGTGTGTTATTTTTCCGTATGTTGTTTGCAACAGCCCAAGTGGCTTTTCATTATACGTGGAGGAAATATGGGATAAATATAACCCTGTCAGATTCTCACCTCAGTCTCTCCCAAGAAAATCACAAAATGCCTTGCTTGGGCCATTTAAATGAGTTACACTGATAATAAGCAATGAGAGTTGCAAATGTTCATCTTTAATGCCCACTGAACATGGCAAGTAGATGTTCTTGAGGCTGCTAAATCAAAATAATAAGTGTTATAGCTGCTTTGACTCACAAGATTTCTTTCTTAATGAGAAACAGGCAGTGCTGGCTGACAAGAACACCAACCAAATGGCCTCCTCCCGTCCCCTTCAAACACAAGGAGGGGAGACAGAACAAAATGATTCTGAACACATCATGGTGGAAAGCAAATCCTATATTGCTCACACATTCCCAAGAACACACCCATCCTTCGGCATGCATGAAGAACTGAGTTCAAATCTGACTGTACCGCTTTGGCAAGTTTCACACCATGCTCATAGGTGAGGGGTTTCTCCTTCATGTACAGCAGACGGGCCAAGGTTTTGGGGTCATCCCGGAGATCAATCTGGCAAAAAACATACCCATGATGAACTTGTGTCTGTATGTGCATGTGTGTGTATGTGTACCATACTGAGACTTGAACTTAGGGCCTTGGGCTCTTGCATGGACTCAAGACTGGCAGTCTGTCACTTGAGTCACAGCTCCATTTCCAGCTTTTTGCTTGTTAATTAGAGATCATTACTTGGATTCGTTTGCCTGGGCTGGCCTTGAACTGTGATCCTCAGATCTCAGCCTCCTAAGAAGCTAGGATTATAGGAATGAGTTACAGGGCTTGAACTTGTTTGTTTTATCCACTTACTAACTGTGACCTAGAGTTATTTTAGCCTCCCAAATATCTGCGTTTGCAGAATTTTCTTTAAGAAAGTACATCACCCAGGCCCTTGTTCTGTTTGAAAAGGTAAGATGTTTTCTTTGTAAATAGATACTGGCATGTCTTTATTCTGTCTGCTTCAAAGCGGTCACCCGGGGGCTAAGGGCTTACTGCTGTAATTCTGGTGCTGTTGTGATTTTTATTTGTTGATAGATTTCTCGATTTCATTGGTAAGGGCAGACAAGACAACCAGGCAAAAAGCAACACAGCCGCGGTGATTTATTTAACCCTAAATGATATGACTCATTATTTACTACTTATTTCCTAGCTCTGCCACTTTCTTTCTTTTCCAAATCAAATCTTCATCTGTTTTTTTTTGGGGGGGGTGGGGAGTGGGGGTGGGGGGAGATTTGCTCCCTATGAGACTATTCATCAAATAACAAAGATCTGGAGAGCTCTGGAAAGCAAGTTCCAAAGAGAAGTTTCTAAAGAAGGTTTCTTCAATGAATAAACATGAATCTTGGCAAAGACAGAATTTCATGGAAGGGAGCACATATTAGAGTTGATAATTCAATTAAATATCCTGGGTGCATTTCAACTTTACTGTGTATATGAACTTGAGAGTGAGCACACAGACCTGGTGTTTTAAAGAAAAACCAATCTGTTCATTGATGAGCCTGGCGCTCAACCCTACTAAGCCACGTTTTGTTTTCTCCTCCTTTTCTTCTTCTTAATTATTCCACTTAGTGTATGTGCTCAAATAGGCTCAAAAATGACCCTAATGTGTTTGAATGTCCCTTCCAGGCTCCATCAGTATGGAAAAATGTTAATATTTGTAATTTAAAGCAAAAGACTTCATTTAAATAAAGGAATATTGGCTGGGTGCTCATGGCTCAGGCCTGTAATCCTAGCTACTCAGGAGGCTGAGATCTGAGGATTCTGGTTTGAAGCCAGTCTGGGCAGGAAAGTCCATGAAACAGTTATCTCTAATAAATTACCAAAAAGCTGGAAGAGGAGATGTACCTCCAGTGGTAGAGGGCTAGCTTTAAGCAAAAACAAAATCTCAGTGCATCAGGCCCAGAGTTCAAGCCCCAAGACCTGTAAAAATAAAAATAAAGGAGGACGGCTGGATGCTGGTGGCTCACACCTGTAATCCTAGCTACTCAGAAGGCTGAGATCTGAGGATCCTAGTTCAAAAACAAGCCTGGGAAGGAAAGTCCATGAAACCCTCGTCTCCAATAAACCGGCAAAAAGCCAGAGTAGAACTGTGGCTCAAGCGGTGGAGCATTAGCTTTGAGCAAGAGGAACAGCAACCAGATCCTAAGTTCAAACCCAGGACTGGCACAAACAAACCAAAACAAGTAGGAGGAGGAGGGAGCAAGAGGAGGGGGGAGGATGAATAAAGAGAGGAAGGGGGGATGCAGTTATAAAATTCAAGGCATATCCAACATTGAGGGAAGGGGTGGGGTTGGGAGGGAAGGGGGAGAAGGATAAGGGGGACACTGATCAGCATGCCCAGTATTCATAAACTACTTTGTTGAATGGCAACTCCTTCACACAACTACGTAAAGATCAAAACAAAACACCCAACCTTCATGTTTACCAAACAGGGAGAGTTATCATACCAAAACAAAATCATAAAGCCCCTCAGGGTTGCTGGCTTCCGCTGTCTTTGGAATAGTACTTGAAGGTTTTAAGAAAGCAAAGACCATTGAAAACTACAAAAAGCCAGGGCAGGCTTTAATCCATGTATACAATTTGGAAATTCAAATTATAGAACTTTATTAATTTCCAAACACTTGAAAGGTCTTGACCATCCAAGTGTGTTTATCTTGTACGTGTATTTCAACCTTATTTTCTCCCTAAGATCCAGATGATCAAGGTTTTAAAAAGAAGACAGAGAACAAATGGTTTCTCTCTTCCATCTCTTGGTGTGTTATGAAGGAGCTCTGTCACCATATGCCCATCTCGATTACTGGGGTCATTTTGATCTTCACACCTATTTTGTGATTTTAAAACACCTGTGGATTTCAGCTAGAAAAAGTTTTAGAAAATCTGTTCAGCCAATATTCTTACTCTATTACTCCCATTTAGGGCCAGAGAAGAATATTAAATAATTATTTTGTCTGTTGGGCCATGGTGGCACATACCCATAATTTAGCTACTCAGGAGGCTGAGATCTGTGGATTGTGGTTTGAAGCCAGCCCCGGCAGGAGTCTGTGAGATGCTTATCCCAAGTTCACTATCAAAAAAGCCAGAAGTGGAGCTGTGGCTCAAGTGGTAGAGCATTAGCCCCGAGGAAAAAAGCTCAGAGGCAGCACCCAGGCCCTGAGTTCAAGCTCCAAGACACACACTATTTTGTTATTTAAAAAAAAGTTGAGATTATTATTTTTTTGTCAGTTTTGGGGCTTGAACTCTGGGCCTGGGCACTGTCCCTCAGTTCTTCAGCTCAAGGCTAAGGCTCTACCACTTGATCCACAGAGCTACTTCTGGTTTTTTGGTGGTTAATTGGAGATAAGAGTCTCATGGACTTTCCTGCCCTGGCTGGCTTTGAACTTCGATCCTCAGATCTCAGCCTCCTGAGAAGCTAGGATTACAGGCACGAGCCACCAGCACCTGGCTTGAGATTATTTTTGAAAGGCCATATCAAAACTTCCTGCTTCATATTATTTAATATGAAGTTATAACTAGTCAATATAAATTTCATTTTCTGCTCCAGACTAAGTCATCATGCATGCCTAAAGAACATCTGTTCTCGGAAGAGATAAGAGCCCGAGCCTCTTCCATAGCTTTGGTAGAAAACGTGGTGTTAGCAAAAGGTCTCTCTCGCAGCCCACCCCACCCAGCCATGGTCCCCGTTTTCACCTGGGTCCCAATCAGGATATAAGGCACATGGGGCATGCAGTCCTTCAGCTCTGGGACCCACTCCTCCTGGACGTTGTGGTAGGAGGCAGGATTGACCACGGAGAAGCAGATCAAAAACACATCGGTGTTGGGGTAGGAGAGAGGTCGCAGCTGGTTGTAGTCCTCCTGTGGGAGGAGCAGACAAGAGTTTGTTCAGCCTGGGGGGCTGAACCACTGTGGTAGATGGTGGTTCAGTTCCTTCCCCTGTGCCGGAGTGTAGTAGGTCTCTCTATTACCAGAAGTAAAGGAGCCATCCCTCGGGAAAGCTCCTTCTTGATGACACTGCACGTTGCACATATACATTGACATCACACACCTTTTCCTCTGAAGATGAACTTAAAAAGATGTGAGCCACTTTCTTATACTATAAATTATACACAGTGAAGTTCACCCATTTATTTTTAAATTTCTTTTCTTTCTTTCTTTGGTGGAACTGGAGTTGAAACTCAAGGCTTTCTAGGCCGGTGATCTACTATTCAAGCCATATCCCCAGCCCTTTTTGCTTTAGTTATTTTTCAGATAGAATCTTGTAGTTTCCCCTCCTCCCTCTTTGGGCCTGGGTAGACCTGGACTATGATCCTCCTATTTCTATGCCTCCCAGATAGCTGAGATTATAGGTGTGACCACCATGCTTTGCCACCCACTTATTTTTCACGACTAAATTATCTATACTTTGGGTGCACAATATGATGTTTACATAGTCAAATTAGCATATCCATTTCCAGAAGCAGTTATCTTTTAAGTGGGTAACAGCACCTGAAATGTTCTTTCTTAGTGAATTTCCAGTATACAATATAGGTATTATTAAATATAGTCCTCACGCTGTGTACATTAGCTCTCTAGAATTATTCCTTGTGTGTAACTGTAGCTTTGTACCTACAAACGATCTCCTCTCCATTTCCTGCTCCTCCATACCCCTGATAACCACCATCCTACTCAGTTTCTATTATTTAAAAGTTCCCCCATTCCAGTGTGTAATTCAATAAAAGTCACTGCAATCAGAGAGACAAACGGCACATGGTCTCCCTGATCTGTGGCTGTTAAATTCAAAATGCAAGGAGATATGACTAAGTAAACAGGACTCAAGAAACACAGGACCTCTACTTAATTTGCTGTATCATTTCTAGATGACTCCATGTTTGTGACCTCAAATATGGTATATACATGTGCACATCTGAAGGAAGCTAGGAGGAAGGCACAGAATCAGAGGAAAACAGGAAAAAATACAACAGAGAGGCCCATCAGCTGCACTAGACATTGATGAAAATGAACTAAGCAACTCAAGGGTAGCGATGGGAGGGAGGGAATGAGAGGGAAAAAGGGAACAGCTAACACTAAGCAAAAGGAAAGAAATGTACATATCACCTGATTTGGAAGAAATAGTTGTATTGTCAAAGTTCACAGAATTCACAAACTTTATAGATCATGATAATGACAATTTGCCTTGTGAAGGTTAAAATGTGTTTGTAACTTTAACTATCACTATCCCACAATACTGTGAAATTTATGTAATCATTTAATCTCAATAAAAAATTACTTAAGCGCCCAGGCCTAGAGTTCAGGCCCCATGGCCAACAAAAACAACAAAGTTACTGCATTTCTCACATTGTGATTGTCCTATACAAAGCATGCATTTAAATCAGTAGGCCCCTGGCCAAAGCAAAGCAATCTTTTCTTATACAGTTTTGGGAAATTGTTTCCACACTTAATGTGGAATAAGCTAACCACAATACAACACAAAGCATTGTTTGTTTTGAAGAAATATGTGGGGTGAAGATTTAGAGCTAAAAATTTGGGTCTTGTTTCTAAATTTACTTCAACCACACAAGATGGGCAAACAAATACAATGCAGATCTTTTTGTTCCCAAGACTTCTCCAGATCTTTCAGTAGGAAGTCTTACATGTTTTCATAGAATTTAGGAACCAATAAACTGAAAGTAATGTGTGTACATATGCTCACACCCTGTATATTTACACATCCCATTAACATGCATTCAAAGATGTATATAGAGCGCAGTGTGTACATGCATACACTTCATGTGCACACGTGCAACCAGACCCACATGCTCACACACAGGTTAGATAGTGTATCGTAAACATAGCTGGCAAATCCACTCATTTGCTGGAGTCCTGACTGCTCTTCCTTGCAGTTCAAAAATTATGAAACACTGATGTATTCACTGCAAATGCAGGCATTGCCAAAATGCTGAGATAAGGAGGGAACAGTCAGAAGTAGCCCCTTGACCACCAAAAAAAAAAAAAAGGAACATTTGTTTCCATTTCCAATGTGTTTTCCATGATTTTTTCTCTTACAAGGAACCACTGCCTTAATTGCCCTTCCAAGCTTCTAAGATTTCCTTATGTACATAATGTTTAATTTAAAGACATTAATATATATAGTTCATATTGTTAGGCCACTTATTTTAAAAAGCAATGCCATGGATTTTAGTTCATATTTTTTTTCTTTTAAGACTGGAACTCACTCAGCATCTGTGGCTTTTGCTCATTGGCTGTCGCTCTACCACCTGAGTCATGTCTCCAGCACATAACTGTATTTTTGATATAGGGTTATGCTGTGTAACCCAGATTGGCCCGGAACTAACTGTATTGTCCTGGCTGGCCTCAAACTCAAGAGGCTGTCTCTGCCTCCCGAATGCTGGTCTTATAGGCATGAGCCATCACCCTGACTACCTTTCTACTGACGCTACTGGTATCTTTATAAAAAGGCACAGACAAACACGCACACATGTGACTGGAAGGAAGTGCCTTGGACTGTTAGGTGTGGTTGTCTCTGCCTGGTGGCCACATTGTATCATTGAGCTCATCAAAGCACCCAGAACAGGGCTCAGTATGTGTAGTTATTATCATTGCTATGATTAAAACAAAGTGGGACACAAGTTGCTCTTGCCTGTAGTCTGAGATCTGAGATCAAAGTTCAAAGTCAACCTGAGTAGACAAATCTGAGAGACTCTTATATCCAATTAACCAGCAAAAACAAGTGGAAGGGTGGGTCAAATGGTGGAGCAGCAAACAGTCTTGAGTGAAAAAGCCAAATGAGAGCTCAAGGCTTTGAGTTCAAACCCCAGTACTGGAACACACACACAACACACACACACACAACCACCACTACCACCACCACCACCACCAAAACTTAAGCAAAGAGTTTAGGTACTTAAGTACAATACAAGGCAAGATATCAAGAATACAGAAACGTGAAAATCAAAGAGCTGAAGCTGGGCGCCAGTGACTCAGGCCTGTAATCCTAGCTACTCAGGAGGTTGAGATCTGAGGATCATGGTTCAAAGCCAGCCGGGGCAGGAAAGTCTATGAGACTCTTCAATAAACCACTCAGAAAATGGGAAGTGGTGCTGTGGCTCAAATAGTAAAGTGCTTGCCTTGAGCTGAAGAGCTGAGGGACAGCACCCATTCCCAGAGTTCAAGCCCCATGACCACCACCACCACCAATAACAACAACAAAAGAGCTGAAGAGGCACATTTCTATGAAAATGAAGAATGGGGAGTTGAATGCAAAGCTAAATAAATGCTAACATTTACAGTAGGAAGTGAGGGTTAGAGCTAGTGACGGCATCTTAGCCCAGTTATGCCCATGTCTGTCTGGGTGGGCTGTGAGGGATGGTAGGGGTGGCGGTGTGTGTGTGTGTGTGTGTTTGTGTGTGTGTGAATAGCTTATCTCTTGGGACTCCCCTTTCTTCTTTAAAAACCAGCTCTAAACTCCACACTTTCTCTCCCCAGCACTGTTTATGTCTCTCCTTTATCTCTAGAGTATTTCCTCAGAGAGTAGCAAGTTGACTTATGAATTATCTTGAGCTGCAATCGGTAACTGTTCCCTACTCTTCCTGCCCCCCACCCCTTCTTCCCATTGGGACTGTCACCATATCTAGGCCTGGGGCTAGCTCAAGATGATTCACTTTTTTTTGTCTCGTTCTCCTCTTGCGCGTTGCATACTGCAAACCTTCCAAGAATGTGACTGACTCATTGAAAGAAATGGGGTCGCCAGTGACCTCCAAATAAACAGAGCTTTTCTTTCTTTCTTTTTGTTTTATAGAACAGAGCTGGAGAGCCTTTATTAATTTCAAGCAAATCAGACAGAGCAAGAAAAATAATCACAAATTAAAAAGATTTCATAATAAAAATTGATAATAGGTATACATACATATGCAAGAAGATGTAAAAGGCTTTAATTCACATGTGTCCAGTAAACTACCAAATGTGAGAAAAAAAATGACAGAACTACAAAAAGAACTAGACAGATTCCTTTTAATACCTAGAAATTTCAACATCCCAGATAGTAATGGAAAGAACCATCAGGTAGAAAATGAGTGAAGGCATATTTAGACTGAAGAGCACTATCAGTTAACTGAATACTATTAACACTCGCAGAGTATTTTGTAAAACAATAGCAGAGCACAGATCATTGTCAAGCTCAGTGGAACCATTACTGTAGGTCATTTCTGCACTAGAAACCACATTTTAACAAAAAAAGAGAAATCAAATCAGGTATGCTTTCAAATAAAATAAAACTAAATATTAATTATGGGAAATGAAGCAGAAAATCTGCACGTATTTGAAGACCCAAAACAGTTTTTTTTCATTTTCCCTTTAAAAATAGCATAGAGGAATTATATAAAGGGATTTCATTGGTGTATTTACAACATGAATATAATAGACATTGATCAAAACACAATTATATATGATTGTTTATTGACATACATGCACTTGTCATATGCCACACATGCCATAAATGCCATGCATGTCATAAATGACACACAGTGTACATGCCTTATGCCACACACTTCACACATTATACATGTCATACATGCAATTCATGTCACACACCTTAAATGTCATGCACGGTATGCATTACATACATGCCGCATTAGTCATACGTGCCACACATGCCACATGCCATACCTGTCATATGCCATATATGTCAGATGTCATAGTGCCTTTTATGTCGTGCATGCCATGTTATATCACACATGCCATATATGTTACAATGCCATGTATGCTGTATAGGTTATACATGTCATATATGCAACACATGTCATATATGGCAGCAATCATGATGAATGACACATGCAAGAATGCCATCAATCCAGCTATCT